ATAATCATCAAAATTAAAATGCTATTGTATTTTTATAAGACCTACTTTATTACATGACCTGGGACTAATGACATCTATCTATAAGGCCTAGCATACATTAATTATTATAGTATGAATATATTTCTTGTTTTAATAACCACATATGATGCTATGCACGAGTCACCATTTATCAGGACATGAATTGGGTTTACATAGAGAGGATAAGGGACGACATCAGAAAATCAATGAAGGATAAAAAACTTAATTCAAATTTTTTTTTTTGGGGGGGGGGGGGGGTGTCAAAATTGCTGCAAGTTTTGTTTAATTAACATCGATTTTATATATATCCTTATTGGTCAATCAATTTTTCCCAAATTAAGTTAAGAGGGGGGGGGGGGGGTAGGGGTCAGTGAAAAAAACTATATTAATTAAGTTTTTTTTATCCTACATTGAACTTTTGATCTCGTCCCTAATGTGCAAAAAAATAGATAAGGGGCGGGACCAAACCTATAGATAACATAATAAAGATTGACTTTTGGTTGCCTGATGTCCAGTGGCAAATATGTCACGCATGTTTAGGACAAATATAATAGAGATCAAAGTATAAAGAATAGAGTGAAATAGTAAAAACTAAAAGATATAGAATTATAGAAACGATCTTTGATCTGAAACCTCTACCCTCACACACACACCATAACCATTACTGCAAATACTCGCATATATGCATCTCTATACAAATATCTAAATTTGAACCTACTCCCCCCTCCCTCTAGACACCGAGGTTTTGGATCCGCTCCTGTTAAATGTGTCTAAATATGTACATTTTGTACTGGTCTAGATAATAGCTAAACGTACAATCATATAATTTGTTGGATACCTATAATTATATTATATAATGTGTCACAAAATAAACTTGTATACCCCCTTCCCAATGCAGTATTGAAAAGTAAATCATTTAAAAGTCCTGAAGATAAAATATGTTTTGAAATATGCCCTGCATACTTATCTATGCAAAGACATATAGTAATTATTGAACTACTGTGGGGCTACAAAAAAACTATTTAAGGGATTCGGAGACGAGAACAGTAAAAAAAGGCTCAGGAACGAATCCTAAATGTAAAATGATTTGCAGCATAAGACATGAGAGCACATATTATAGATAGTATTAAATATGAAGTTCACGCCTCATATAGTGAAGTCCTATGTCATAGGACTATTGTTGTATCGTGGGTTAGTAACTGGTTCCAATTTATCCTGAATTGTCTTTATTAAAGAATTAGTTCCGGAGTATAACAGCTTATGTCTCTACTTGTGGGTTTCTGGTTCTGCTGTCGTAATTATGTGATTTTTTTTCTACATGTAGTAAAAAAGAGGGGGCTAAGTCCAAATAATTGTAACGTCCTGGATACTTTTCATTCTTTTTTCATGTGTGCCTTCCTGCAACGTCTCTGAGGATCAAGAAAAGTAAAAAATGATATACTAAAGAACGCCATGATTACATGTATCTGGACTTAGAAGGGGGAGGGGGGCTAGCTATGTATTTTTTTTTATTTCAATGTGTAGACTGTAGGAGAGTTTCTTCAAAAAAGGTTTTCATTGGAGGTGTTTTTGCCATGCACGCAGGCATCTGTTTCTATCCATGAACAAGTTGTGTGTCAAGTTAATTATTATTACTTGTCACTCGCATGTTTTGCTTGTCCTGGCCATTATTGGCATTAACAGCCAGTGCGCACGAACTCGCACGAACGCTAAAATTTAGTTAGAGGGGCGATATTCTGACGCGTTTTTTAATTCTTGGTCACTCAAGTTTAGAAAGAAAGGGGAGAAATCCAAACAATTACCGACCAATCACAAACGTTGTTGCAAATTTGACCTTATGACGCCAAAGAATTTCCCATAATGCAATTATTGCATATAAATAAAAAAAACTACTATACCAATTGAATAAAAAATATTGCATGCAAATGACATTCCATACCAATTGAATAAAAACTATTGCATTTGAACGAAAATTATACCATTTGAATGAAAAATTATACCATTTGAATGAAAAATTATACCATTTGAATGAAAAATTATACCATTCAAATAAAAAAATATTGCATTTAAATGAAAAAATATACCAATTAAATAAGAAATATTGCATTTAAATGAAAAATATCAAATTTTGGCAACCAATACCATGCCATAACTGACACCATGTCCTTATATTTTAGATGTCCCTCTTTTACTGTTGGTGAGAATAGATACAGCGATACACCATTGTTTTTAGAGGACTTGTAAGGTTTTGGAACCAAATAAATGGAAAAAATCAAAAGAAAAGAAGAATATAATTGTCGTTTTTGACAGAAATGTTAAAAGAAGACAAGATTTACTTGTAATTGACAAGTATTTTTATTCCTAGATATAGTCGTTTAAAAATTTATCCGTCCGATTGTGAAACCAGAATATTAAGATTAAGTACACCATAGTCTGGCAATCACCAAGACAGAATACAGTTTAAGAATTAGGTTGTGTGTGTGTGTGTGTGTGTGTGTGTGTGTGTGTGTGGTTTATTGTGGGGGAGAGTGGTGTGGTAAACAAATGAAAATAGTGATCAATTTGGCAATTTAACGTATTTTTGTTGAGGATGAATGAAATCAGGCAGAATATGTTGTAAATAGAATGCAAGCAATTTCCAAACATAATGATCCCGTTATTTTGAATTTTCATCGATAACATATTCATCCTTTCCCTACAAAATCTACAGTCTGACATTATAAACGAGTTTCAAACACTAGTAGACTTTATAACATGTAGATTTAAAAGATTCTATACAGAAATCCTGATGGTTTGAAACAAGTTCCCATTTCCTACAGTATTCATCAGGATTTGCTAAGCCTATGTTTTATATATTGTGATTGTAACAGCGTGTCTTCAAGGACTTTTGGTAGACATGTAAAGGGTATCAGTGAACAAAATGTATCACCTCCCAGTTTGTGATGGGGTTCGTTTTGCTCAGTTTATTGTTTTCTATGCTATGTTTTATATACTATTGTTTGTCATTTGGTCTTTTTTTATTGCCATTGCGTTGTCAGTTTATTTTCAACTTATGGCAATATCCGAAATTTGGCATTAAGGATGAAGAACTGGTTCTCCTTTATAGCTATATGAGTTTTTAAGAATTTAATTAAAGATTTCCTTGATAGAGGGTTACTGCTCATGTTGACCGTTATGGAATATCTGTTTAACAGATATTGACGGATATGTTCCAATCGTCGTTATAACAATTCCGTTATCCTTTTCACCGAATGTGACATACCGAATTAAACTTACAACCGGGTTTGTACTTATATAAGCAAAATGACGGGTGCCACATGTAAAGAAAGATCTGATAATCCTTTCGGAGCAGCTGAGATCACCCCCAGTCACGTGTTGTTTAGTCGTTAGTGTTCTATATTACGTTTTGTATACTGTTGTTTGTCTTGTGGTCCTTTTTTTTGCCATGGCGTTGTAAGTTTATTTTCAACTGTCCCTATGGTATCTGTTGCCACTCTTTTCAAGTGCAAATAAATTTATATCAAGACAAGGTAGAGACTGAGGTTCGGTTGAAAACAAAACTTTACGACAATAGAGATGATTTCAGCTTCCCAATTGTGAACTTTCCATTTCTATGTAGCAACATTCCAGCAGCGCATGCATACGGAGTATATATCTCCCAATTGATACGATATTCCAGGGCTTGTATTTTCTATCATGCTTTCCTTGATAGAGGGTTGCTGCTCACAAGGAAGCTATTAAACCAAGAGTTCCAAGTGGTGGAGTTGAAATCATCCCTTCGTAAATTTTACGGACGCCATCACGAGTTGATTGACCGTTATGGAATATCCGTTTCACAGATTACAGCGGATATGTTCCAAATGTCGTAACTACAATCCCGTCCCCTTTTCCCCGAATGTTACCTACCGAATTAGACTTATTACCGGGTTTGTACCAACATGAGCAACACGACGGGTGCATCATTTAGACCAGGATCTGCTTACCTTTCCGGAGCACCTGCGATCACCCCCAGTTTTTGGTGGGGTTCCTGTTGCTCAGTCTTTAGTTGCCTATGCTGTGTTTTGTGTACTATTGTTTGTCAGTTGGTCTTTTTCTTTTTTAGTCTTGGTGTTGTCAGTTTATATTCGACTTATGAGTTTGAATGTCCCATTGGTATCTTTTGCCTCTCTTTAAGTGATAAGACATTTTTGTAGTGCGGAACATGAAATAAAAGAAATATATGAGTATTTTTCATTTTTTTTAGGAGTCGTTGGATAAAGTCTGCTGCATAAGAATAATAAAACGTCTTTTTTGTGTCAACAACAGTTGCGAGGACTGAAATTGATATTACATTTTGTTTTGTATTTACATTGTATCTTGGTATTTATATATCCCGGTATTGTGCTATTGTGCTATGGCCATTTTTTGTATTTTTATCTTTCATTTTTGCTTATGTGCTTCGTTTATAAAGTGTCTATATGTTTTTTCTTAAGACTATAACACAATGTTGACTGCTGTACCACAATTTTTGACATTTTTACCTATTATGTCTGTTTGTTTTGCTCACACATAGTTGTCCATTAACGGAATTTCATGCGACTGTCATACAAGTTCGAGGTTTAGCTAGCTATAAAACCAGATTTAATTCACCACTTTCTACATAAGAATATGTTTGATTTTGCCATTTGAAAAGGGACTTTTTGTTTCGAATTTTCCTTGGAGTTCGGGTTTTTTGTTATTTTTATTTTTTACATGGTACTTACGTTGCGTTGATTCTCAACCCCTACAATATATTGGTATTTAGGCCACCCAAGTTAACATTGACATATCATCTTTGTTAGAAACAACAAATAAAGACAAGACAGGGAACAAGTCTACAACTTTGGTCTTCCTAATATTTGTTTTCGAGCATAATAGACAAGGAATACGTTTTTGAAATATAAACATAATGTGTATCATTTGATTTTGTACTAAAATTATTTATAAAAACATAAGACTGTATATGCAATAAAACAAACTTTACTGAAGCTTTTATATTTCATAAAAGAAGTATAATTTAATTTTATAAAGATATTTCCTAATGGTATTAGTTTCATGAAACCAATCAATTCGAACTAATTTTCGACAGGATAAAGGACCTTAACAATTTGTGTTCTGACTGTTTGGCATCTTCCATCACAACACTTTTCATGTCCCTCACAACTTCTATCCACCGTACATGTTTTTCCTCGTGCACCAGAGGCACTTCTGCAAGACCCTGCAAAATATACCAAGTAACATATGAGACCTAAAGTTACATTGAAACAAACGAAATCAATGATTGACATTTATCATGAAACAAGATTGAACTGCCTGAGTTTTGCTACATTTAAAAGACTGCAGTTATGAATATTTCCATGGCGTTTCTGTTGTTTGAAACTACAAAACTCTTCTTTACAATTTCCAATATTTCTTTTGACAGACCAATCTTCTGATGTCTGATTGTCAGCATTGATAACATACATTTTTATCTGGATTATAAGAAATTAATACCGTACAATGATTCTGGTTATAATTTTGTGGGTTATTTTAAGTCATGATCTATTACAGTTGTACAAGATGAAACATGTGAATAAACATCAGAACTAAAAATATTAAAAAAGAGAAACTATATCTTTGATCTTTGACTTTATTAGCAAAAATTGAATGCAGCTATCGACTCCTCTTGAATGCAAACAAATAAATCCTGAGTCATTCTATTTGAAAGAGAATAAAAGATTATTATGATAAAATAAAAATTTAGAGAAACTAAAAACCAAATTAGAAAAACATTTGAAAATACTTTTGGTCGTTTATTCAATTACAAATGTGCATGCATTGATGAGGTATATAATGGAATTGTGTTACAGGTATTTTAGAAATTATAGAAAAGATCATATTTTTCAAGTAGTGAAAAATACGTAAAAGTCTGATTCCTTATCCGGGCTTACCTTTACGTTTTGTCCGTTTTGCTTTTATCAGCTCTTCAACCAGTGTATTAGGTTTGTGAATTTGGAACATTGTGTTCTCGAGAATCATTGAATAGAAATTAATAGCGCAGCGCTTCATATTAGAAATGTGCGCACGATCAACGTTTTGACAACCCTATAAAATTCATAACAGAAGCATTTAATTCTTACATTTACATTGTTATGCTACAACCTTGAAATTAGGAGTTATATCAATCTTTCTGTTTAATTTTCAACGCATTTATTTAACATTGTCACGGACAGCACATGAAGTCATTGCTGTTGTATTTTATACGGAAATAAAACAAGATATTGAGGTGTCTAGCGATAGTTGCCAGTCAACCAAAATAACGGATTATAATGAAAATGTAATTATGTTGATTTTAAAGAAACAAACCTAAGTGATTTCCATCAACTGTAACTGCTACACATCGCATATTGCAACCGTAAGGACAGCATCGATATCCTACAAAAAAACCAAAAAAAAGTTGAAAATTACATTTTTTACATCTTTGTCAGTTTGTGACTAAATGTGTAGGAAATTAACAAATTTGCTTCTTTTTTTGCTATTTTTTATGTTTAAAAATTTGTAATGTATTCATATATCTTACACATATACAGATATCAAACATACAGATTTGTCCATTAGTTAGATAGATCGTAATCAAAGTAATGAATGAATGAATGAATACTTTTATTCTCATAAACAAAATGTTACAGAGAACATATACATATTAACAATATACAAATTTATAGTGCATGTGTGAATTACATATACATGTATCAATTAAAACACATTTAAAAGCTCTAACCTGGAGGAACGACCTTCTCTTGGACGTTCTTAATAAATTTAAGATGCGATAATTGTTTGAGAAAGATTTTCAGGACATTTAATTCAATTTAAGTACTTATCATGTTTATTGCACTATGATAACTTTTTGAGAATGCTTTTCCATACATGAACTAAGTTTATATGACTAATTGAACTTACATTTATCTACGTGAAAGTAAAATCTTACCGAGAACTTATACAAAAATGTCAAATATCGACAAGATATTTTTCACTGACTTCAGTTTTCTTACATACCCCATTCAACACAGTGTGGACCGCACGACATAAAGAACACGTGCTATTGCATCAAGGGTACCATCGGTATTTGTTGTCACGTATTTTGTTCGCATGCAATTTGTTTTGTCACATAACAGCATTTTGTTTGTCTTTCATACGGATATTATTGAGTTAAATGGGTTTTTTAGATGCCTAATATATCGACTACTGTCCAGTCAACAGACTAACAGTGGGCCAACGTTGGAAAGTTGTCGGTCCGTTGGTCGACCGTTGGTGTTGGCTGCACAACATTGGCCCAACTTTGGCAAATTGTCGGTCCGTTGGTCGCACGTTTATTTTGGCTGCACAACATTGGCCCAACGTTGGCAAATTGTCGGTCCGTTGGTCGCTCGTTTGTGTTAGCTGCACAACATTCGCCCAACGTTTGCCTGCTGTTGTAAATCCATATTATTATCTCATGTTGGTTATTTATAATCGGGCTAACGTTGGTATGATGTTAGTAGCAACATAGGGCCGATATGAAATTTTGTAAATAAAAATTGATTATGTAATATTTTACGCTTTATTTCTCTTGGGAGTTGGATAATTTCGATTGCTGCATGCTTTATGAAAAGTTAATGTTATACCGAAAGTGTTCATCAACTGAAAATACATTTACAACTCTATGTTGGGCCAAAGCTGGGCCAACGTCGATTCTATCTTATACTCTATATATAAGCCAGGTAAAATTTATACTGGAATATCATTACTGTAATAAAAACATGTATATCGTAAACATAGATTGCCTGGTTAAAAGTTTAAATTTATTGCAATCATTATTTATAATAACTTTTTTTTATTAAACTTTGTGAAACATAATAATTTAGCAATTATAAACAGAGTGATAATTGATACAGCCAGTCTGTTAATCAAGCACATTCTGATAAGGTTGACCATATGTTAGACACATTTCAAAGATAGTTGCTATGGTAATTAAGTTTATAGGAAATCTGAGTGCAACTGGGATGGTCACTTTTGTGGTTATTTCCTGTTGTGCATTTGTAAGAAAGCAGTGAAACGAAGAAAACAAAAAGAGAAAATCATATCATCTGAGTTTCAAAGAGAAAGAAAGAAACATGTTAGTTGTAACTTTAAAAATTCTGATATATATACGAAAATGAATGACTAATATAATTTTTTTTTTAATCTGAGAGATCTTGTTCAAAATTCAAACATATAATTTCTATCATTTTATAATGTTGATCTTGAAGTTTATACGTTTCGGGCGAAACATTATTCTAGATTTTGTCTAAATATTTGCCACTGAACATTAGTATCATCAAACATTGTAAATTTCCAATATTTCAATATTTTATTTTTGAAATCTATAAAGATTGCATTTATTACCATTATTCATGGGAAAAAATCTGTCTTAAGATGTACCTTGTTCTGTAATGTTTCAGAAATGTGGTATAATGATTTCTACTTCATAGAAATATAAATAAATTTGTTAGTTTTATTATTTCTAAATCGCATGCAAACTTATACGATATATTTGTGAAAGCTGATCATATACAAACTTGCATATGTAACAGTGTTTTAGATATCCAAAAGAGTATTTATTTCTTAATCTTATTAAATTCATTGCAAGAATGTTGCTATTTATATATAATTATACGGACTCGACTGTATTTTCTGGTTACATATGTGTATAACAGTTGTTTTTTCCATATTAAGTTTTTTGTCCTCGGCAAAACTTTTGCAAAACAAAACCGATATTTAAATAGTTTGTAGGAGTAAATATCAGTCAAAAAAAGCTGTCGCTTGAAATATAAAAAAAATAGGGGGATGTAAAAAAAAAAAGACTATACCACACATACATGACATAAGGATATTTATAAAAGAAAAAGACTATAAAGATTATTGTCTGAATTACTTGCAGTAGCTTTTCTTTTTAATATACAATTTTACATTTTAATATGAATTTATAGGTCAGGTATTTGAGTACTGCAGAAGATAAAATAAATCAAAAGGAATAATACAGAGCGAGGAATAAAAGGGATTATTGACAACATCCTGGCTAGAAAATGCATGGGAATGGAGATGAGAAAAAAATGCATTCTACCATCTGATAGCCCAGATTGAATAACTTTAAGTAAGTTAACATAATAGCTATCCTTTAAGCTACATCGGATTCGAATTTCACAGATATATATGCATAAAATGTTTAATACTACCGTTAATGCTAGTGTATTTAGATTTGACTTTGTTTTGTTTTTTTTCAACTAGTTTTATTTATTTAATTCGAACGTTTTTTGACAAAGTTTCCTGTATCCATTTCTACACTCAATTGCCCTGCTTAACCTAGCTAGCGAGGTGAAGTCTAACTATTATGGTAAAGCATGCAATATGTCTTTTGCCTTGGCTTGTATAGGCTAGGGAAAAGAGTATTTTTTCTAACTATTGTAATGTGCCAGGACACCGGAAACAATGTATTTTTTGTATTTTTGTTTATTTTTTAGGAGGATTTAATATATTCTAAATATACATACATTGAGTACTCATTTATTCATTACTTTATTACAGGGGCAGTGACAACTTTTATGAAGATTTGCTAAACTGGATAAAGGATTTAACATAAGCAGTCAGGGGCATTACTTAAACAAGTAACTTTTAAAATAACCAATACAAGTAATGTTGAAAACAAGGCTATTTTAAATATTACTTATATAAGTAACTTTTCTAAATATTATTTTTATAGGTGTCCAATTATACAGATTTTACTAGCTTTAACAAATTTTCACAGTCATATCGTTTTTGCCCATGAAATATTAATTCTAATCCTTCTGAAACACAAATTGCCTTTCTGACGCACTTATCTTTCATATCGACGCTTCTATGTCAAAGATTGGTCTCTTGGGACTATTAAAATACCATTTTCCTTGAAAATCTTGAAGATAGACAGATATAAATAGATAGAAACTTGTGAATAAATTAAGACTTGAAGTTATTTATAATTTGTAACCCAAACAATTACATAAGCTCCTTAAATAAGTGTTATTACTAATTCTTTCAAAGATGTATAAAATAACTTATTCAAGTAATATTTTTGTCATTATTGTTAAAGTAACCCTTTATCTCTATACTCCTCTCAAATTTAATAAATTCTTAATTTTATGATATAAAATGATGTAAAAATTCATAACAACTACATTTAGTCCATGCTTCTATTGAAATTTAAAATGACTCTATTGAGTAATTTTATAATTTTTATTAACAAAAATTACCTATATAAGTAACTAAAAAATTTACTTGTTAAAGTAACGCCCCTGACTGATAAGACGGAGCCAGAAATAGTGAAAAAACAAAGTGAAGCAGAAAACAAAAGGAACACTCTTGTGAATAAAAACCATGTTGGAATACAGAACTAGAAAAATATCTGTATAAAATGAATTATCAATGCCTTCATACAGAGTTTGGATATTGCAACATAAACTGTAATGATATTATACAAATGGGATAAATGATTTATCATGAATAGACTTTATAATTTTCATTCTAGATCTGATTTAGCAACGTATAGATACAAAAAAGAATTTTTTAAACTTAGCTGGTTGTCTAGCTAATAATAAATTATATTTAATCATACCTTTGTATTTACATTATTTAAGATAAATAGGTAATATGAATATGCTCATTGCTGATTGAATTCATTCGAATATGGGTAAAATTCAGAAGTACAATTCCTGGAGAGAGATTGATTGGTTGTTGGTTTACTGAAACGTCCACTGGCAAACATTTCATGCATGTTCAGAAGACAAAGTGGCAAAATACAAAATTTTCGGGTAGTATGTAAGACACAACATGGTATAGTGGATCTGTAAAACGCAATAATTGCAACATTTTAAAAATTTAAAGTAATACTTTCGGAATTTTGAATTAATGCAGTTGTTGCCAGGTAGGAACTTTAGTATCCTTCAAATGGATAGAAAAGTTTATAGATTGAACCAACGGAATGCCAACGTTTGTTAACAGTGTGTATTTCTACGTTGGCCCAACGTTTGTTCAACATCGGCAAGTATTATTCCATTATTGGACCAACGTTGGGCCAATGTATTGTATAAAACCTTACAACGTTGTGCCAACATTTAGCCCTCACGTTGGGCTAACATAGGGCTACTTTGCACTTATACATTGGGCCAACGTTTAAAAACTACGTTGGGCCAATGCATGTAGATACGTTGGGCCAACGTTGTGCCAACGTACCAATGTTGTCTGGGTGTCTATTCATCGTTTTCTTCATTGATCAAGATTACTGAAATTTTTAATGAGTAATCACAAAAGTAATTCAACATCTTGCCATAACACTGTGCCTGTCCCATAGCAAGAACCTTGATATTTTTGCGATTAATTTGTCTTTTCTAATAATACAACATATACACAAATTTATTAATAGCAGAAATATATAATATTACCTGATGGGCATTGATTTTGGTCAGCACAATGGAAATCAAAATCGATAACACATATCGTATTAATGTCAAATTCAGGACAAGTGCCAAGGCTTTGACAGTTCACCTAATAAAAAAAATATAAATCATAGTGATGCTGCATCTAATGATTATGATGATGATGATGATGATGATGATGATGATGATGATGATGATGATGATGATGATGATGATGATGATGATGATGATGATGATGATGATGATGATGATGATGATGATGATTATGATCAAATAGAATATATATTGATAGTGTAGTATTTTACCCAATATTTGAAAAAGTAACTTTATTTTAAATAGTACATATTCAGACAAATGAGAAGACAAGTAATAGAAGATGCAATAGAAACAATAAAAGTATAAGGAAAGATGTTTGAGCAATGGCCAACAGATTATAAGACAAAAATTTAATCTTCAACGCAAAAACTACAGAATAAGAAACGTTGATAAAAGATAATCTTGAATAGAGATAAGGCCAATTGACACTGAATTTATTCCGCAGAATGTTCATTTTTCTAAAATACAAAATACTCTCAATAGAATAATAGCATAGCTCCGTGTATGCAATTTTAATGATTATCTTTTAAAAGCTCTAAATTGTTATTTTGAAAAAATCTTGGCATATTGATATGAGTTAGAAAAACATTTTAACCAAATCAAACTTATATTGGAATCAAAAATATGTATTGTCTTTCATACAAATTATTTCATTTTGGTAAAGATACCCATCGGTGCCAAAGTTTACTGTTTACAAAACCACGCAAAAAAAACGCATCAAATTGTCGTAAACAGCGCTGGATTACTCACTTATTTTTTGAAATATAAAATGTTTCTCAGCATTTTTAGAAAACTCTTTTATATTTCAATTTAAGTAGGTTTTAACAACTTTCTGATAAAAATCCTGTGCCTTAAACAAATAATAGGTAATTGGCAGTTCGTATTAAGGTACTTGATCATATATAGTAAGGTCTCCTCTTGAAGGTATCTTAGGACTAACGTATGTCCTATGATGGCATAAAGACATCTAAGCGTGTTCTAGCACATGTCCTAAATTTTGTCGGTAAGCAAGGACAAAAATGTACATACCTTAAGAAAGTTCTGGAAAATCATAAAATTATTTCTTTTATATTTTGATTTAAGTAGGTTTTAACAGCTTTCTGAATAAAATCATGTGCGTTTAACAAATACATAGGTAATTGGTAGTTCATATTAAGGTACTTGATCATATTGTTGTTTTCTATTACAAAGTATGTCTCTCAAAATAACTTTATAATAATTGCAAACAGTCATTTTATAATGGTAACAGACGTTGCGATATTCAAAATAACTTGTACTAAATAAAATTAACTGCTTACAAAACTTTGAAATTTTGAAATACTAAGGCTTGTTTACCCTATCTGTATTTGGCAAAACTTTTAGAAATTTTTGGTCCTCAATGCTCTTCAACTTCGTAATTTATTTGACCTTTTTAACTTTTTTTTATTCGAGCGTCACTGATGAGTCTTTTGTAGACGAAACGCGCGTCTTGTGCAAATAGTAAATTTCAATCCTGGTATCTATGATGAGTTTTTTTAACAGGATGGAGACCTCTTGAAGACATCTTAGGACGTATGTCCTATGATGGTCCAAAGTCATCTAAGCGTGTTCTAGCACATGTCCTAAAATTTATCGTTAAGCAAGGACAAACATGTATAAACCTTAAGAAAGTTTCCGGAAATCTTAATGGACAAACCGATACATTTAAGACCTCTTTTTTTTTGGATAGATCACCTTTTTCTTGCTTTTGCGGTATCATTAGATAAGACATTATATATAAAAATAGCCAAAAAATTCGACGGAACACTGTACCTCGCCTGCAATTGCTGATGTCAATGTTAAAGAGAGTCGAAAGATACCAAAGGGAATAAGAGTCTAATGTTGATTTCCAAACACTAATCCATCTATCAATCTAATCAGTAAAATACGGAAAAATTCTAATTTTCTTTAGAAGGTACTCCAGATAATCAACAAGCCATATTGCATCTTACATTATTTAAAAGAGAAATTTTTCAGTCCCAGGCCTAGGCGTGACAAATATGAGACTTCTATATATACCAATGGCTGCGTATGAAATCTGTATTGCGCTTTAAATGTATTCTTAAAAGAACTAATCCTGAATCTGTTTATAACTGAATTTTGTGTAGTAATGATCCAATATAAAACGTTAGGTACAAGTATTAAAGAGTTGTTTTATTGATTATCATTAATAAGGCTTAACGCATGGATGAATTAATAATTCTACATGTACATATACGAAATGCTAATTTTTTCTTCTTATTTTTAATCATGATAGCCTCCATATTTTTTTAAACATAACTTTTCTTTATTTCATTGGACTTCAAATACCTTGTTATATTATAAACAACGTACCATTCAACTTTTAAATAATTTCAGATTATTATATGACTGTTTTCATGTCAAAGATGTTATCGCCCATATGTCATGACACTCAACTCAAGAGCCGCAGACTTGTTATACAACAATCCCTTCCAAATGGGGAAATATATTATTTTGTAAAAGTGTTTTACTTGAAAAATGTCAATCTCAACAAAGCAATTTATACTGGTAGTCTATAATATAGGCAGTTGAACATATTTCAATATATATAAGACATATTTAGCCTTAGAATATTATACAGTTATGACCCCCTGTGAGAAGGGGGATATCCCTCCTAAGGGTTATTTTCCCGAGGGCTTAGAAGGGCTGACAATTTTGGATATCTCCTCACTCAAAGAGCCGTAGCTGTTATTTTATACCTAAAATGTATTAGCATTCAATTCCGCCTCACCGGCGGTGAATAATCGGGTTATTCACCGGAGTGTACAATTTGTCGCGGCTTTTCACCGGCCTTGCCGATTTGGACGAAAATATCCGGTTTAATTCACTCTACTTGATCATTTATTAGTCAAAAGATTTATTCAATTTTACTGTGAGGTATATTTATCAACGCTAATATATTTTCTAGTGATTTTACACAGCTGATTTTGAACCGACACAAATTGCATATTAAACAAATTTAGACAGATCTTAATTTCTTACAAAGTTTCAATTTGCTACACTTTTGAAGAGCACAGTTTTAATTTTTGAAAATAAAGCACTTGTTGTATCATATCGTTTTGCATGGTAATATGTTTTTCTTGTATTCTAATATTATCCTCACGTATTCCTCCCCGTGAAAACGCATCGTTTGTGTATATTTTCGAAAATAAGTTGCGTGACGACGAATTGCCACCATCCGATAACGTTACGAACCGTCTAATCAACGTAAGATATGAAATTAACGTAGATTTAATGTCATGAGGCTACTGTAAATCTTTAAGTTATTTACTCTATGTGAATGATAAATCAATGTACAAAATGAATTCATGACGATATTTTTATATTATAAATTGTTTGTATTCTTACAGTTTTGACGCACGAAATGTATTAAGTGTACTTATATTCCTTCAATTCAATCATTATGATAGTACATAAAGGCAATAATACTATACCGCTGTTCAATAGTCATCAATCGATTTAACTGAAACAAATCCGGGTCACCGAGGAAAACACATCAACTATAAGAGGAAAACAATGGAACAACATAAACACTGAACTGTTACAAAAACAAAACTCCAACATACATAGAAACGGACTATTTGAAAACAACTGCCATATTCCTGACTTGGTACAGGACATCAGAAAAAATGGTGGGTTGCACCTGATTTTATGGCTATCCAAACCTCTCACTTATATGGCAATGTATAAAAAAAACGCTAAAATAACAACATTACGTGACAGGAATACAATACAAAAAAACGCAAGAACACTCAGGACAGAGAAATACATACATAAATAATATAATTATAGTACATTACTACATGTAAACCACAGAATAACAACGGACACCGCCCATGTACATCACAATGAATTATGAACTGTGAGTCACATACAACATGTATACTTATATAAGAAAATGGAAATCAAAATTTTAACATAGAAAAAGAAAATGTTTTAAATGGAAAATGAGTAAAAATTAGGACAGCCCTCGTACTACCCACATATTACTATCGTATGGAGGCTGTGATCCATGACAGTCCTGGAGTCTTTCAATAACAGGACTTTCAATGCATTCGTTAGATTTTGTTTTAATTAATGAACTACAATTATGTATTGTTTACGATTTTCTAATAAAGCGTAATACAAAAACAATTTTGTTTTCCTGTTTGGTCTGACCTTATCTTTTTCTTTTTTTCTTCTTCATGTGATCTTGTATCTTGTACACGTCTATAATTCCTATTTCCTGTCATTGAATTAAAATGCATGCGATTCTGAAAGATATTTTACCTATCATAACTTAAAATACCTCAATAAAAGCAACAAATCCCAGAAACAAGATGAAATAAACGTTCATTTGTACCACTGTTGTCATCGCTATGTTGAAGTCTAAAATAACATAGAAGTGCAACAGCCGTTTATACTTGTCTTGAAAAGGATGTTTTTCCCCTAAAATATAATCCCGGATAAAATTAACATTTACTTATGCATACTTACGTTAATAATTCGGTATAGATGCGACAACCGTTATAATGTACAATGTCACCAACATGTGAAATATCAATAATTTAAACAAGCCACACGCATAATTTGACATATGATGCGATTTATTGTTCGCTTTAAATGTAATCTAAAACGTTTTCCAGTGTTACGTGAAATGTCGATTATTTGTCAACAAAAAGGAATTTATACAATTAATCAGACTGGTGTAAATTTACCGCAAATTCATAATTAGAATTTAATGCACAAAATTGTAGAAATACTCAATTTACGTGCCATGTTTTTATATACAAAGAAGGAAACGAGTGATGACTTCTCTTCATCTAATATAAGATTTACTGCAAGTTCCAGGCTACAACATTTAACATCTGTACCTTTTAAAAGGAATCTAAAGATCGAATCAAAACGTTCAAACATAATTGTTTTCCGCCTCAAAATAAATAGGTTCGGAAGAAAAAGTTATCTGTAGCATGAATGTGTTCTTCAATTTTTAGATGCGAAATTTACGCATTGTACGTAAAATATTTCAAATTATTTGTTGTGGTTTGTTTAATTTATTGACATTTCACATATCCATCACAACGTATTACATGTTTACTCTTTGTTTAATTGTGAAATTTATTTACGTTAAAATGCATAGGGAAATGCTACTTTTATCCGGGATTATATTTAAAGTCTAAACCATCCTGGTTAAGACAAGTATAAGTTGCTGTTGATGACAACTGTGTTACAACGTATATTTAAACTTGTATCTGGGATTTGTTGCTTTTTACACTAGTAACGGGTTTTACTACTGAAACGGTCATTTTAAACTGAACAACTCTTAAATGCCTGAATTTACCGCAAGGAAAAATGTCAAGATCTTTTTCAGTTGTTCAGTACATGTTCAGTACACTAACTATCGCGATCGATTAAGTATACGTACCAGTCAGTACTGGTTTAGGTAATTAAGAAAAAACGCGTAGCGTTAAATCCTGTACTGTTAAGTACATTTTAGTACACGTCAGTTCATCGATAAAATAGTTGATTGGGAATTTTCAGTAGCATCCAGTACCAGGTAAATCTATCAATTTTGACATAAAATTGTTTGTGCAGATTCATAAGGTTTGTCTGCCTTTATTCGAGCTTGTTTGTAAAACCACGATTTCTCAATTATATTCATGTCCTTCCATGAACATTTTATTGCTTTGTGCAATTGTCCAAAATAAAATATATGTGAGGGTTAAATGAGAATAAATTACAACTAAAATGAAATATGTTTTCGGAATTGCGTACAAATTTACCTAGCTTTAACGGCTTTCGGTAAAATTCTACAACTTTTAACCTTTAAAAAATGTATACTCAATTGATCGGACTTGACAATTAGACTTTGTTTTTGTAAAAATCAATTTTAACTATAACTATGACATGTAGTTTTATCAGATTAAAATTCATTGAATATCATTTAATTTGCAATGTATATTTGTTCATGTTTTAATATCAAATATACTCTATTGCAATCATAAAAATATAGCAAGTTTTCAAATGGAAAGAAATATTGATGATCGAAAATAACTTTTACATAAAAACTGTAATGTATTTTTTACTTCTTTTTGGTAAATTGTATCTATAAAGATTATGTTCCGTAATGACAGGAATTTTTATTCGAGGTCTGTAAAAATACTAGACACAAACTTTTATTGATACTTCGTTAGTTAGCAAGTAAAAAAAACTCGAAATTTATAACAGTTAAAGAATATTGTTTATACAGCATAAAACATAAAAGGCACCTTAAGTCTCCATTCGTTGCTGCATAATGAGTCGCTAAAAAACGACGATTTTCAAATAAAATGTCCAAAAATAGTTGTCAAATCCGTGAGTAAATACGTAAATACGTTAACCTTAGCAACAAATACCATGTATTGTGTATTTTAGATATTCAAGATAATTGAAATAAAAATGATCACCCCCCACCCCCGAAAAAGCAATTTGATTTTTAAATTACATGTTTACATTTATGGACCCATTTCCCATGTTATAACAGGAGATCTTAACATCGTTCAAGACCGAGAGTTAAAATCATTCCTCAGTAAAGGACCTAAATATCGTCCCCCGTCAATTATTAATTGGTATGAGTGTCGTAATATCATCCACGACTCACTCCATACTTACTGTTTGAAAAGGATAAAACGGGAAAAAGCTGACAAAAAATCTTTGGACTCTTTTTTTAATTCAGTAATGAACATAGTTGATATACGTATTCAATATTTTAAAGAACATTTTACTCTTAACAATAACCACAATAAACCTATTTCTCGTATCAAACATAAACTAAAAGAACTAGCCAAGGAATTTGTTTTTGTCCCGGCCGATAAAGCTGCTTATAATATTATTATTGTTTGACGTAAATTTTACATTGAGGTTCTGAAAAAAGAAATCACCAATTCACCAACATTCCAACTGACTCCATTTTCAGAAAACGACATCTGTAACAAACATAAACTTTTAGCTACCGCTTTACAAGCAGAACCAAAAACACTGAAAGTCCCAACTATGTATTGGCTTCCGAAGCTACACAAAACACCTTACAAATATAGATTCATTTCGTCTTCAAGCCATTGTTCCACTACTAAATTGTCTATTCTTCTTACCAGTACACTTGGTACAATCAAAAACCTGATAATAAATTGTTCAAATAAGGCCTTCGAAAAAAGTGGAATTAATTACTTTTGGAGTGTCAAGAACTCGTTGGAAGTACTTGATAAATTACATGCATATATTGGTGATTTTGAATCTGTTCAAAGTTTTGATTTTTCTACCCTATATACCACATTGCCTCACATTCTCATTAAGAAAAAATTCTCACACCTAATTAAATGGGCATTTAAAAAGTCAGAATGTGAATATATATGTTCAAACTCTTTTAGGTCATTTTTTAGTAGCAATAAACAAAAAAACTATGTCAATTGGACATGCTTTGATACTATATATGCCCTTGAATTTTTACTAGATAACATTTTTGTTCGCTTTGGAGATTCCGTATATCGTCAGGTTATCGGAATTCCAATGGGGACTAACTGTGCACCACTTATTGCGGACCTTTTTTTGTATTGCTATGAGTTACAATTTATGACAAAAATCAGCAAAGACCCATCGAAACAACATCTGATACACAAATTTAATAATACTTTTAGATATTTGGATGATATTTTGGCTCTCAATAATGACGACTTCAGTATGTATACTAAAGAAATTTATCCTGTTGAACTTACTTTAAATAAAGCTAATACTAACAATGACCACTGCCCTTTCCTCGATCTTGATATCTATATTATTAATGGAAAGCTTAATACTAAAATATATGATAAAAGAGATGATTTTTCATTTCCTATCGTTAATTATCCATTTTTAGATGGTGACGTTCCCTTGTCACCATCTTACGGTGTTTATATATCTCAACTTGTACGATTCGCTCGTGAGTGTAGCGATGTTTTGGATTTTAGCGAGAGAAATTTATGTATTACTGAAAGATTACTACACCAGGGTTTTCGATATCACAAACTTGTCAAAACATTTACTAAATTTTATCATCGGTATAAGGACATCATTCGAAAATATAGCTCAACATACAGACTTCTTATACGTTCAGGTATTTCACATCCAATTTTTTATGGAAATATTCTTTATAAAGCACAAAAATGTCAGTATTCACCTCTGAAGCTAACAAAACCTTTAAATAGACTTATTAAGAAGGGATATAGTTACGATACTGTTGTCGGGTCATTAAAGATTGCTTATTTTGGCGTTAATATTGATTCACTTATAGGGTCTTTGCATCGGCACTAAACACATTTACTTAAAAACCAGTTGTTGGCATGACACGGGTTATGTTCTTCTCATATATGTTATGATGGTATGATACTAAACCCCTAACGGGAAGGATTGTGCCTGATATTCATATGATGAAGACATAATCTTTCAATCAGTTTAATTGAAGTCTGGAGCTGGCATGTCAGTTAACTGCTAGTAGTCTGTTGTTATTTATGTATTATTGTCATTTTGTTTATTTTCTTTGGTTACATCTTCTGACATCAGACTCGGACTTCTCTTGAACTGAATTTTAATGTGCGTATTGTTATGCGTTTACTTTTTTACATTGGCTAGAGGTATAGGGGGAGGGTTGAGATCTCATAAACATGTTTAACCCCGCCGCATTTTTGCGCCTGTCCCAAGTCAGGAGCCTTTGTTAGTCTTGTATTATTTTTAATTTTAGTTTCTTGTGTACAATTTGGAGTTTAGTATGGCGTTCATTATCACTGAACTAGTATATATATTTGTTTAGGGGCCAGCTGAAGGACGCCTCCGGGTGCGGGAATTTCTCGCTGCATTGAAGACCTGTTGGTGACCTTCTGCTGTTGTCTGTTCTATGGTCGGGTTGTTGTCTCTTTGACACATTCCCCATTTCCATTCTCAATTTTATTAAATTGGATATTGGTTGGCTTCGTTCTTTGTTTTCTCGTGTTTTTCTTTTTCTTTTAATGACAAATGAAAAAAAGAGTCTAATATTTATAATTTTGTATAAAATAAAATTTTTACCAAAATAAAAGCCCAAAATTTGTTAAATTACTTTAATAAACGAGTATTCAATTATAATGTCCATGCCGTACAAAAAAAGCACCCGGAAAATAGCAGTTTGATAAAGGGATACATTCGTATATGCCCGGCAAATAATGACAAATACCAAATTCAATTATTATGTATACATGTATGTATATTATATAATCATCACAACTGTATATTATTGCTTATGTGTATAATATCATCCAACAAATTTCCACTGTCCAGGTGACTGCGACCGATCGATAATATTAGACAATATGCGTGCCGTATGCAGAATGTCGTACCTCCTCTGGTCGGTGGACAATTTAAATATGAAATGACAAGTATAAACACACAAGAGAC